TCGAAAAATCGACAATGTTTTTTNCTTTGAAATGTACACACATTTAAGCCATATGATTACGCTCTAAAAGTTTCATTAAGATCGTATGTCTACAAAAGAAATTATTCAACAAATAAATTCTCGTTATATTGCCCACACTGCAGTGCAGCCCAAGCGCAGCCGCTGCTAGCTGCGCAGTTTGCAAAGCGCGTGCTTATACGTGCATGTGTATGTATGTGTGCATAAAAGAAGTCCAGAATGATTAGAATATCAGYTTRGAGGGYTCAGGGTATCTCCTAGTCGAGCAGTCTCGACTGGAGCCTTCTTACTTGTTATTTATAAAATCTGATTTAATTTCACAAATGTGATAAAAATATTAAATTGAAATTTTATGAAAGCATGTACAAAATATATATTTAGCTACAATTTATCCGAACCCAGCTTGAAAGTGACAAGATTAAGAAGATATAAATGCACACAGAGTAAAATAATTATGAAGTCCTTGAAGTGAATTTGGCTCCTCGCCATCGCCTTACTCTTAAGATAACTCTTTACAGGCCATTTATTTCATAACACACAATGTTGGGAACAATCCAATAAGCTCTTATTTAAAATAACAATGGATAATTTTCTCAGATATATGGCCAAACTAGAGGCCACTTATCTTTGCAACGGCAACCTTGGAGCAGCAGCTTAAGATTATTCAGGCTAGCTGAATAACTTACATACTAGTATATCCGCTGCGATTTGGCTCGCATAAAAACAATAGCTTAAATACTTATATACATCTTATATATATGTACATATATATACATTTATTTTGTTTTTTCCTAAGAATTTCGCACCCGACAGTTTTATTCAAGGACCGTGCGGGCCACTTCGTTGCCAAAGACGACCATTTTTCTTGTGTCCTTTATTGTTGCAGTCCTTGCGCCCAACCCCCCAGCACATCTGCCTACCCACTGTGTCCGCTACATATTTAAATTTCACGCGCGCATACACAGGCAAGGATAAACGGGATTTATACCCACTAATGCCTGTGATTTGTTCTATAAAATTACTTTATGCCGCCGAGGCGTTGCCAGCAGTCCCTGCTTTGTGAAGGCCGTACGCAGCTCCTGCCCACTGCCCTGCTCCAGCCCCATTTCAGCTCCACGGAGAAATACGAAAAAAGCAAGGAGAGCCTAAGTTTGCTAAACGAACACTTTGGCAGCCTGACGACTTATGCCTTCATCCCTTTCCTTGCTCAAGCAAAGCTGCATAACGTTTATTTTTTCATGTTCTCTTTGTGTCTCATCTGTGTGTGTATGTGTGTGTGTGTGTGGAGCTATATTTGAGTTATATTGAAAACATTTGCTTTGCTGCTGCTATGTTTTCCTTTTGTGGCCCGCAATAACCACATCGTGTAGTTTTCATCAAAATTCTCAAATGCCGCAATCAGGCATGAGGAAAATTGACGAGTGGCTTAGTTCATAACTCAATTAGCAATTATGCATGTTTTCATTTGATTGGCATCGGTGAGGCACTAAGCTGTGCTGCCAGCCACAATGGAATTAAAAAGCCACTGCGTCAATCAGATGGCAATAATCAACATGAAATGCTGTGGTTAAAGAAGTTTACAGTGGCATTAGCTTCCATACGGTCTGTCAATCAATCAGTCAATCGTTCGGGTGTCTAATGAACTTCTGTAGAGTGTGCGCATATTGCCGATAAGAATTGTGGTTGTGTCGTCTGCCAATCAAGCGTAATGATTGAACATTATATTGATAAGCAACAGTCCGTGTGGCTTGCTCAGACATGGCCAACTAACTGGCAGCTGGACAGGCCAACAGACAGCACAGCCTACTGCTCACCACTCAGAGCCGAGGGCAATAATTGCGTTCTGAGTTGTCGCTGCAACAGGCACGACAGGGCCCCACCACCACCACGACAGAGCCACCCAAGACAACAGGCAAACCGATCGACCACAATTCGGGCGGGCTCCCTGCCAAATGGCCGTAGTCATGGCATCGCTGCGACTTTTGGGCAGGAGTCGTGCGAGCTGTGACCACAGCTGCCACAGTTCAGATATTGATTTAGTAATCAATTGAAGACATGCTCGATATCGAACAATCGAAGACCAAATGTTTTTTCGGCCGACCGTTCACACTCTCCGCCCACATTGCACTATTGTTTTGCTGGTTATTTATTTATTTGTTTTGGCACTAATTTATTTATGTTATAGGAATTAGTGCTTAGCCAGCCAACAGGTAAACAGGTGAGTGACGAAACAATATTACAAGGCTGCACTGCTGAGCTCATTAGATCTCAGCAGTCTTAAATCACCGTTAAGTGAATCCCCAAGCTCAACCGAATTAAAGTACTAAAGCCGCGCCAACATTTATCTAGCAATCCGCATATGAATGATGGGCTTAAGTTCTTATGTTCGGCATTACGGATCTCCCGTTTTTGTAGCTGCAAGGCAGGCACTCGACATTAGCTGGTGGCTGTGAAATCAGAACCCTTATGACCCTCTCCAGGGCGCCTGAACTCTAAACAATTTAAGCCCATCTTAACTCAACTCAACAATGCAACACGTCCTAATATGAGATTTCGTTGGCTGCAATATTCAAGTCTTCGTTCGGGCTATTAAATGTGTTGCGGAGCCTCTCTATCATGAGTATATTATGTTGCGCTTTAAATTAATTTTCCGTTTGAGGATTTCAATTTCCACGGCATATCAAACATGGTAATGTAGCTGTTCATGTTGAAGCGTGGCCGAGCTCCCTTGGGGGCAACAGTTGCAGCCGCAGCAGCAGCAACAGCAGCAACAGCAGCAGCAGCAACAGCAGCTTGTTGTTGTTGTAGGCACAGCACGCCCACTCCCGCCTTGATTAATGCTGATTGATTGATTATTTGCGTTTTGCTGACATGCTGCACGCTTTATTGTCGCTCGACTCCTGGAAAATCATCAATTTCCGCTTGTAGAACACGTACACCACGTACAACAAAATGTTGGCGCTGTCGTTGTCAAAGTGAGCTCATTTTTTTTCGTGTTCGTTTTCGTTTTTTGTTGTTGTTTTTTATTCCCTCTTCTTCCTTTTTTTTTGCCACCCAGTCAGCAACAAGCGGACAGCCTGTCGAAGCAGGGCAAGCGTTTCGGTGTAATGAATATTTTCTGCTGCTGGCAGGCTGCAAAACAATTATTGCGGTCGGTCAACATCTTGGCAGCGGACGTGTTGCAAAGTTTCCGTTTCCATTCTGTGCTTTTCAGTATTTTTATTATAAATTTCATAAGAACAAGAACGTTGGACAGCTGCCAGGAGCCAGGGGCCGTAAAAAATGGATGTTGAGTGCGGCGACATCAATGCCCAAGTGTTCGACATGATTATAAAGGCAGACGTTAGCGAAAAGTCAGTCAATTCGGATTTGAGTTCGTGTCAGGACTGTGTGCTCTTTGGCCCAGAGCCCTGAATGGACGGGTGTGGGCATGGTGGATCGATTGGCAAGAGGCTGCTGCTGCTTGGCTGTCGAGTCTTGGCCAGCTGCGTATGATTGAATTTTCGTGAATTACGGCTCGTTAGCATGTGGCACGAACACGTACACATACGTACATATACAACCACCCACACACACGCACAGATGTCCCGCTGATGGCAATGCCCCAAACCAATGAAAACGTGGCATGTTCACTGTGTATTGCAACAAGTTGCCAACCAGAAAGGCAACAGCGCTGCCACACTCGACGTCCTGCCTGCCACATCTGTCGCCTCGCCTCGCCTCGCCACATGCACTTGACGTGCTTCATTTCATTTGGTTTTCTTGTTTTCCGCTATGCCATATTTTTCGCACGGCCTGACACGTTTTTTACTTACTCAGTCGTTGACATTTTGCGTGACTGACGACAGCCGCGTGGTGTGAATAAATGAAAATGAAATTGGCGCCACTTTGTAGGCCGCCCCTTGCAAATGAGGCAATGTGTTTGCCTTTTACTATTTTGTGTCTTAATTATGATTGGAATTGAGCTCGCTGTTCGCTGTTTGCTGTTCCCTATTCGCTATTTGCTGCAACATTGCCAATTAATTTATCGATTTCCATCAGCCAATTTCCAAATTGTTGCCACTGTCCAGTGCCACATGCCCCAGCGCACAGCTATCACAAATATTATGGCTAATTTACCGAACCAAACTGCACACGCCCATTTATTAGCTCATTGCGATTGTCACATTTTCCATTATCATATCCAAATATTTATAAATATTTTTCGCAGTTTTTGTTGTGGCGTAAACGCAATATCTATTTAATAAAGTTAATTAAAGAATATTAATATATAATATATTGTGTATAAATTTGCATTAAGTATACGCACAGTAGGCAGTCAATCGACAGCTATTCTATTTCTATAGTTGTCACCATTTACCAATCAATTTTGTTCAGTGTATTATAAGAAAAGCTGAAATGTAATTATCTGACAGGTTAAAGTGCATCTGTAGTTGTGCAATTATGAATGAAAAAGAATGAAGTATTTATCTTAAAAGTGTTTGCTCTCCTCACAAGAGTGCTTCAACCTCTGCAGCGCATCTGAGCTCCAGCAAAAAATGTCGATAAAATGCCGCCACGGATTTCACGTGTCATTGTGGGGGGGCAGGAGGTGGTGGTGCTTGCAGGACCCCCGTAACTGAAGCATTTTTGATATGCACGTGAAAAGCATCTCATGTGCTCTTTGGCAAACCAATTGAGATTTATTGAGCCGGTCGGAGGTCGTGTGCGGGCCCACATACCATTAACTGACAATTAAGGTGTTGGCTTCCCGTTGTTGTTTGAAATTCTCTCTGTCTCTCTCCCTCTCTCTCTGGCCACACTTGAAATGCGCTGCATATTTTTGAAAATGTTTTCCTTCTTGCGCTTGTGCTTTTTAATGGCTTTTCAATTGAACCGCAATCGAGCGTTACTCGATGTGGTCAGATTCTTTGGTGCGGCATTGCTCAGGCAGTTCATTTGCATCTATTTTAATTCGGAATTTCTCCTCTTGCTTTCCCCAGATGGACAATCGGACGTGGATGTGCAATTAGTGGTGCCGAGGTATGTGGAGCGAGGCTCGAGCGTCACATTCAAATGCAAGCACAACGTAATACCGGAAATATTATTCAAGGTAAGCTCTGTGACTATATGTACATTTTATTGAATCAGCATTTCCCTGATGCATGTGACTCGCTAATGGAAAACTTTAAAGTGAAATCGGAATGGAAACCGCGACAAAGCGCGATTGCGTTTGCCTTGTGCTACTTTTCGTAAAAAGTTTATGGGTCTGAGTAAAGCTAACCCAATCAGTGGCAGGTGATGCACAAGGTGCATGTTGCTAGTGCCGCCACCGACACAAATGTCAGCCAGCAGCGCCAGCAGTTGGAAAAACTAACAGTCAAAGAGCGGCTCATCAGGTCCTGCCCGGCTGCCAGCGTCGCGTCGTTCTCACTTCCGACTTAGTTTCAGTTACAGTTGCGACAATTAATTTCACTTCAACTCTCCTATTACTGTCACGAAACATCAGGGGACACGCACAGTCGTACTCCATACGTCCCCGAGGGCAACGCCTTTGAATTTATGGCAAATGAGTTGTTTAGTTTTCTTGTTCCGAACTTTCAGCCACTAGTTCTGCTACCTCCACTGCAAGTCGAGGAATACAAATTCAAGGCCATGCTCAAGCACCAGCTCTGGCAGCGCCCGCGGCAGAGACTCTGCTCAGGACGTTGAGGTGGAGCTGGAGGTTGTGCTTGAGTTTGTCGTTTTGTTCATTCTAAGTACCATAAAAGCGTACAAATTTTATGGCGCAAAAATGCCACGAAGTTGAGTGCTTTAGAAGCGCACAACATATTGATTTTCTCTCCTTTGCTTTTCCTTCACTTTCCTTTTTTTCGGCAGAGCTGCTTGTCCGCCGTCACTGTGAGTAGTTTTCAGCTATTAATTCAAAGTTGCTTTCATTTTTTTTT